TTTCCAGTTAACAAACCTCAAGTTCTTCAAATAAAGGTTTGTTGAAACTATTCCAGCTGCTAGAAGTCTACAAAACTCAATTTCACTAGATGAATTCAAAATCCTCGAAGCACTTCCAAAAGTTCTCAAAGCAAACTGGTTCTCATCCAAACGTGAATAACCAGCTCATTAGTCACAAGCTGACTAACTTCTCAGGAACGAAGTGATTCACACAAGGTGTCTGTACAACCTTCTTCTAGGTACAAAACATAGTCAGAACATAAAGTTCTTTCTCCAAATCAGTCTTCCACATAGAGATAGCATCTCACAGCTTCCAACCCCAATGTAGAATAGAATGTTCTGTTCGACATTGTCAATGTAGGTCAGCCAAATACAGTTGTATCGCTGAAGTCTTTCGACCACTGTAATAGCCAATCCACAGTGTAGACACGACTTTGGTCTCAAAGCAATGTCGTCCTCATAGAGATAACCAACGTCATCGCAGGAACGATAAGAAACACACCATAAGATCAAGTGTATGATCCATAGGTTACGATGACGATGATGTAGGTATTGTCCTCACAATACCGAAACATCTCATCACAAAACTCTCAGACAAATAAGATGCCCAAATATGACCATTGTCCTCACAATGCCAATGCATCTCAAGGTCCAAGCTCAAAGCATAGTAGGTTCTCTCCATCAGATATTTCCCAGCTAGCTTAAACTCTTCTCCAAGAGTTTCTAGCTGTGTTCTCATCACTTGGAGAGAATGGGCTTCACAATATACAGTGTCCAGGAGTGTCGGGGACACAAGAAATAATCTCAATGTCGAACCAATGTAAGTATCTTCAGTTCAAGCAATAAGCTGTACCAGACTCAAGTCGAATCCAGAATAAGATGTAGAACTGATCAATATACCACAATCACTGGTCAACACTGATCAATGACATCATCCTGATGCCAGAAATGATAAGTCCGAAGACCAATAGAATATTGTGATACAGGATGGTCACATACAAGATTCCTTCCACAATAAGTAGAGTGTTCTCTACCAATCTTCCATGACTTCTTGCCGTAGCCTTCCACGTATCCTCTGTGCACAAACTATACAACTAATGATGAATGGCATGTCGCTTCACCCTTAACCAAAGGGCGCTCCCACAGGGTGTCAAATTTCCATACTTGGCCCTAGTTCCAAAACCATGCAGGATAGCAGGCCTCATGAAACCCGGTTCAATTTCCATGGCCTGATAGATCTTGTCTCCTAGTAACACTTTAATCACCACCTCGCCTGGGAGGAGGCTGAGTGTTGGCAGGGCCCCTTGCTCATAGGCGAGCCGGGCCCACTTATGAAAATTGGGTTGTCTGCCTTGGCCGTCAAGGATTCCTCGCAAGTGTCCATGACGAGGCCACAGACCCGTGGCAGGTACAGGAAAAGTAACCAACCCTGACCATTGCCCCAATAGGCTCCAGGCATGACACCAAGCCATTTATGCTGCTACGCCTGCGCCGGAAAAGCTGCTAAGCGAGCTGTTGCAGCTTGGAAACTTCAGTGGCACCGGAGCCTTTGATTTGGGGCATTGCGCTTTCTTGCTGACGCTGCGCTGACTCCGATCTCTTTGCACGGTGGACTTCAACTAGGTTCTAAAGAATTTGGCCGGCAATCCACGCGGTGACCTGGCAACGTTCTTGGGGATCAAGGGTGCGGTCCTTTGTTTTCACCATCTACAGCTGGCAAGCGCCTTAGTCTGTGGCCGGTTGAAGACTGAATTCAACCTTTTGCTGATTTTGTTTCATCTCCCGAAGGGGAGCCAATTCAAGTCATGGGAGATGCAGAGAGGGACCAATCTGGAGGTGCCTGGTCTCGCGTTCCAGTTTGGGACGGATCGCCACAGACGTGGCGAGCTTTCCAGAGAGAAATGAAATGGTGGACTAGCAGCCTGGACTTAGAAGGAACGAAGAAATACAACCTTGCTGCACGTTGGTTGTTGAGACAGTCAGGCGTAGTTCGCCAAAGAGGTGAAGAGTTCAATCCAGATGAGCTTGAGTACCAGAAGGAGATCAAAGGTCAAGATCCACAGACAGGTGACGAAGTTGTCATTACGCCTGAGGACCCGCTGAGCGGCTTGACAAAGTTGCTGAAGGCGTTAGAGGGCATCAATGGCAAAACAACACTTGACAAACGTGGAGAGCTGAGAAATTTGTTTTACTTGGAGTTGAAAAGAAAACCAGGTGAACGCATAGCTGAGTTTTGCTCCAGGTTTAGAGTTTCTCTTGCAGACCTTAGAACGGAGGGAGTGACCTTGCCTTCCGGTGAAGTTGGATGGTTCTTCAAGACAAAGCTTGGTCTTGATCCGCTGCGAGTGCAACTCTTGGAAACTGCCTTGTCAGGCGCTGAGGAGTACGAGACAATCGAACGTGAAGTTCTTCGACTTTTCAAAGATCTGCACTCTCAGGATCCGTTGGTCCGCAAGTCTTTTGGAGATGGCAACAACAAGGGTGGTTCCTTGATGCAGAGGTTTTTGACTTCACAGAATCCTTCAAGCAAGCCTTCGTCCTATGCACCTTCGATGGCTAGCTCTGTGCCGAGGTCCCACAGGACTTCAACGACTTCTGGATCAAGCAGGTTCAGTGGATTTAGAAAGCCTTTCCCGGCCCGACAGGCCATGGTTTCTGAAGCAGAGGACCCTGAACCCGATGAAGAAGCAGAGCTGTTGGAGGATGAGAATGAAGCTGAGCCGAACTTGGAGGATATGCTGAAAAGTGAAGCCGAAGCTCTTGCGGCTGAGTTGGATGACGCTGCAGACAATGGCGTCGACGCTTCGACCCTGCAGGAGATAGAGGAATCAGTTGAAACCGCAGCTGAAGCGCTCCTAACTATGAAGGAGGCTCGAACAAAGTTGCAGGAAGTGAAGCGTGATCGGGGTTACCTGAAACCAGCTGATGGTGCCTCGAAAACCAACCCAAAGAAGACTGCCAAGAACCCTTGTTTCGACTGTGGCCTTCCTGGACACTGGGCTGGCGATCCTGAATGTGGAAAACCTGGACAAGGCCTAGCAAGGAAGTCTTCGCTGAAGAAACCCAGCGGCCGACATGTCAAAGTGGTTGAGACTTTGAATACAGAACATGTGGATGATGTTGAAGGTGAAAGCCATGAGGTGCTCACCGTGTCGGCACAGCCTTTGTCCCAGTCCTTTGTAGCTGCGCTTGAAGATGCCCACTCCGTCACAAAAGAAGCGCTGATTGCACAGCTGGCAGAAGACAAACGTCTTGTTGGAGCTTTGGATTCGGCATGCAACAGAACATGTGCTGGACCGGATTGGTTGAAAGGGTATCTTCATGGACTTCAATCTGCACCAGAAAGCATTAGGAGCCTAGTGACCTCAAAGCCTGAGCATGAAACCTTTCGTTTTGGAAATGGCGGCACCAAGGTGTCGGACATGCGATGGAGATTGCCAACAGTGATAGGAGGGAGGCTGTTTTGCTTTTGGTGTTCGGTGGTGCCAGTTCCATCACTTGGTCTTCTACTTGGCCGTGATTTTTTGGAAAGTATTGGAGCTGATCTGTCCTTTTCACGCCGTGAACTTTGCTGTGAACGTTTGGGGGCTGAGAAGATTCAACTGAAACAGCTGGCTGCAGGACATTACCTACTGCCTTTGATTCCTGCTGCATGGCCAGGTGTGGGCTCTCAGCGTTGGCGTAGGATTGGACAAGATGGCATCATTGAGTTGCAGATGTCGACACCAGATTGGTTGAACTATTGTTTCAAGGGTCAACGTTCATTGAGGGTGGCAAAACATGACCATTTGCTCACAGAACACAGTGTACATGTTGGAAATTTGGTTTGCACCGTGATGTCAAGCCCTGTTTCTGGTCCTTCGGTTCAAGCAATTTCAATGCGCTCTTCTTCAGAGCACCGTGAACCGACTCCTTCCTCTACGACCAGGACGACATCAAGGACATCTGTGAGAAATGCTAGTGCCAAAACTCGGCGTGCAAGCCGGCAGGTGGCGCAGAATGTTCCTCAAGCTGAACGAGCGCATGCTGTGGGCCGCAAGAGGCGTCCTGCTCTGGCTTTTACAAAGGCCTTTCTTGCGCTTTCTGCCCTTTCCATACCCCTCGACGTCATCAACAGACAAATGGTTGGAGCAAGCGCGCAAGCAGGTTTCAGCCGGGGTGATCTCAAAGCGCCATTTCAAGTTGGCGGTCGCCATGAAGCAGTTCACAATGGCCAATCTGGGAGAATGCATACACCTGAGAGGACGCATTGGCCTCAAATTGGCGTTCTGCGAGGACCCGACGGTGGAGGGCATGTTGCAAGCTCTTCCAATGAAAGGCATGGCCAACAAGATCCGAAAGGCCGTTCAAGCAGAAGCTGTGGCCGCAGCCAAACAGCTTGCCAGCGACAACAAGCGAGAAGCAGAGGCTCGGACCTTGATTGGGCCAAAGGGCGGACTTCCTTCACTACGAGGGGATCTGGTGAGACTTGCAGCCCTTCTCCAAGTGACTCTTGGAGACAAGGACACCATCGAGGTGATCAAAGAAAAGGTGAAGCCAATGGTGGCCATTCTCAAAGAGAAGCCTGTGCAGCCGACCGCTGCAAAGTCATCAGCCAAAGCCAAAGCTGCCAAGCCGAAAAGCCATCCCAAAGATGCGAGCGCTTCCTCAATGTCTTCAGAGGTGCGCCCACTGTCAGTTCTTCAAGATCAGGTGGCAAGCTTGACAGCACAGTTGGAAGCAATGAAAGCCTTGCTGCCGGAACAGCACCAAGTGCCGGTGGTGGATCTCATGGAGGTGGATGCGAAATTGGAAGTGGAGTCAATGACTTCCGAGGATTACAAGCAAGTTCAAGAAGTGATGCTGGAGGATTGCTACGGGGACGCCCTGAGAGCACAATACGGGGACGTCGACCTGGTGGATCTGACACAGGAGCAGATCGAAGCAGTGGTGGATCCATGAACTTCCCTGACTTCAATCCCTTCAGCTTGAACCAGAAGATCAAGAGCGGCCAGGCTCAGATGATTGCACAAGCCTGGCAGAAGCATGAAGCTGATCGTTTGAAAACCTCCTGGGGCCCAGCCAAGATCCGTGAGACTTTGGTTGCTGACTATGAGAATGATTTCTGTAATGCATTGACGGAAGAGACCTTCATCCAACCCATGGTCTTTGATTTTGAGTCCTTTGCGGTTTCTGACGCCAATGCAGTTGAAAAGAATTCCAAAACTTCAAAGAATGCCAAAGTTTCTGAGTATAAGCAGTTTTCCAAGAATGCCAAAGTCCCATCGAATGTCAAGGTTTCTGCGAATGACCTGGCCACAAAGAATGTCAACCGTTCTGAGCCCTGTGCAGGCTCGTCGAAGGTCAAGCCGTTTGTCACAGAGGTCTACACGAGTGCTGAGAACGTCATGAAAGAGGCCAGAAAACGTGGACACAATGTGGGGCAATCTATGTCCTTGGAAACTGGTTGGAACTTCTTGGATGCCAATGACAGGTTCAAAGCCTACAACAAGATCAGAGATGAAAAGCCTTTTTGCGTGGTTTTAGCATTTCCTTGCAATGGTTTCAGCCCTCTTCAACGTTTGAATGGACTTCATCCCGAAAGAAAAGCAGAAAGAAGGGCGATAGGTCGTGAACTCATGAAGTTTGCTTTGGAAATAGCTGAGCTGCAAATCAGAGAAGGTCGTCATGTCATCTTAGAAAACCCTCGAGGCAGTGAAGCTTGGAATGAACCTGAGATGTTGCGTTTTCTTGAGGAGAATGAGCTCTACGCCGCTATCTTTGACCAATGCCGTTTTGGCCTCAAAAGCCTTTCTGGTTGGTTGCACAAGAAGCCAACGAGAGTGGTGAGCTCAAGTTCAGATGTTGCTGCGGAACTGGATGGAGTGACTTGCATGCGCAACCACCTTCATGCGCCAGTTCTGGGCGGCTCTCATGTGACAGCCCGTGCGGGCATCTACCCGAAGCCTTTGGCACGCGCCATGGTTAGGGGCCTTGAGAAGCAGTTTGAACGAGAGTTTGCTCCTCGTGAAGCTCTTGCTGCCGAAATTGGAGAGGATGTTGAGGAGGAGGAATTGGCTTTTGAAGGCGGTGGATTGGTGATGCCTCAAGATGATGGCAGCGATGTGGAGGACGAAGTGGATTCAAAAGGAACTGCAATTCATGTTTCTTCTGGCATGCGCGCAACAATCCTTCGACTTCACCAGAACACTGGCCACAGATCGGGCAAAAGGTTAGCCCGAGCCCTAGCCACAGCGGGTGCACCTGCAGAAGCAATTCAGGCGGCGAAACAACTTCAATGCTCAGTTTGCCAAGAGCGACAACCACCTCGTGCACGTCGTCCTGCTTCTCTTCCTGTGCCTCGCGACATGGGTGACCAGATCCATGTGGACTTGCTGGAAGTTTTTGACGCCAGCGAGAAGAAGTACGTAGTGGCCCACGCAACTGATGCCGCTACACGATTTCAAATGGCTGAGATTTTGCCAGACAAATCAACCAAGTCTGTGGTGCGCTTCCTCTCTACCAGATGGATTGCAACATTTGGCCCTCCGAGAGTGATGGTCGTGGACCAAGGCAGAGAATTTGTGTCTTGGGAAATGGAGGAATATGCTGGAAGCCAATCCATTCTTTTGCACCACATTGCCGTTCAGGCGCCCTGGCAAAATGGAATAGCAGAGAGAAGCGGTGGAGTGTTAAAAGCACTTTTAGCAGCCATCGTTACTTCTCAAAGCGTCCTTGGACTTGAGGACATGCAGGTAGCTCTTGCCGAGGCGACATCAGCTTACAATGGCGACATCAATGAATTGGGTGCCTCTCCTTTTCAGGCCGCCATTGGACGTCAGCCTAGAATGGTTGGAGACGTGCTGGGTGGCATACAGACAAGGCTTGCAGAGCATGGACTCATTGACTCCAAGCCTTCGCTGGCTAGACAGTTGGCCATGCGAGAAGTTGCCAAAATCGGGATGACCCGCCTTCACTTCAGCCGAAGTTTGCGGAAGGCAGAACTAGCACGATCCCGAAACCCAACCATTGAGCAGCTTCCAGAGCCTGGCACAATCTGCTACTTCTACAGGCCTTTGAAGTACAACAACAAGACAGCGCCGTCCAAGAAGAAGCTCACTCTGAAACGTTGGCACGGCCCTGCACTTCTCCTGGCCATTGAAGGCAGAAGCTCTGGATACTTGAGCTACAAGGGGCAATTGACCAAATGCGCCCTGGAGCACATTCGTGCAGCCAGCACGATGGAACAGATAGCTGCAGATTCATGGCGTGAGGCCATCGAAGAAGCTGTTGAGGCTGCCACCTTGGACTTGTCGGCCCGTGGACTTCCTTTGGCCGATGGTGGCGATGGAACTGCTGTTCAACAACCAGCTGCTGTGATGCCAATGCCTGGCACTCCTGCCTTCTTGCCCTCATCTTCAGCAGCTGCAGTTCCAGAACAAGCAATGCCGATTGGCGATGACTTGCCTCCGGTAGCGCCTCAAGAACTTGCTGGTGCCTTGATGCCTGCCTCTGCACCAGTATCGACTCTGCCTTCCAGAAGACTGAGTGAGGCGACGTTTGAACGAGCCACCACAGATGGACTTTCGAGTGGACTCGGCGATGGACTTCGAAAACGAGCCTCAAGCTTTGCAAGTCAGTTGCAGGGCGTCATGGAACAGGCACAACGTCAACGTTTGGCAGAGCCTGCAGGGACCAAACGAGCTGCAGACACATCACTGGAAAGATTGAAGGCTGAATCCTCTGAGCCTCCTGATCCTCAACCTGATGGACCTCCAGTGATCACAGCAACTTCATCTACTGAGCCTGTTGCAGAAGCATTGCAGACCACGAGAGAAGATGTTTTGTCCAGTTTGGGCGATCCTTCACTACATCCACTGCAACACATCTACAATGCTGCCTGTGAAGACAGACTCAACCCTACTGAAGTGCGTGTGAAAGATCATGGTTCTTGGGATGGCAGATGGCCTTTACCCTCAAGAACGGAATGGCATGCTCACCAACGGCTTGGACTTCCTTGGCCTTGTGGGCATGATGATCTGGTTGAAAATGACGTGATGGCAGTTCAAGCCAATCGCAAAGAATTTCACTGGCGCTCCATGAATGATGCTGAGAAGGCTGAGTTCAAGATTGCGGCCGAACAAGCCTGGAGTGTTTGGAAGGAGAATGATGCGGTTGAAGAACTATCTCCTGAAGAATCTCAACGAGTGCGTGAGAGACTGAAGAGAGAAGGCCAACAGGGGAAGATTCTCACCCCCAGATACGTGTTTACCGACAAACACGAAGGCCTTCGCACTGAGCAGAACAAGTTGCCTCTCCGTGCACGAGCGCGCATTGTTGTTCCTGGTTTCAAGGACATCTTTTCATTTGGACTTCGAAAGGATGCTCCTACATGTTCAAGACTGGCCCAACATTTCCTTTTGACCTTGACGGCATGTTTCAATGTAATGGCTGTTGGAGCTGACCTTGCCTGGACTTTGCTTTCACCCGACATCAAGTCAGCCTTCATGAAAGGAGATGCCTACATGGATGGGACCAGAGAGCTGTTCATGGAAAACATCCGAAGAACCTCTGATGAACCTCGCTTGCCTTTTCCTGGACTTGCCAGGATACGCAAAGGAGTGTTTGGTTTGAGTGATGCGCCGAGACGTTGGTATTTGAGGTTGAACAAGTCCCTGATTCAGCAGGGATGGCAAAGAACTACACTGGACTACGCCTGTTGGGTTCTGTGGTCACCATGTGGAACGAGGTTGGATGGCGTCCTCATCTCACATGTGGATGATTTGCTTTTTGGGCGGAAACCGCCGTGCTGTCGCCAAACTTCAAGAGCTTGGACGAGAATTGGGGTTTGGAAGCACCTCTGAGAAGGACATCACCTATTGTGGCAAACGTATCCGCCAATGGGATGACGGCCACATCACCATCACCATGGAAGAGTACCACAGTAACCTGAAGACAGTGAACATTCCTGTGCCTCGCCGAGCCAACCCAGACTCAGACTTGACGGAGATGGAACGACGTCAACTTCGCGCAATCCTTGGTTCACTACAATGGCTGGTTGCTCAACTGCGATTTGATTTGGGTTTTCAGCTCAGCACCTTGCAAGGTGAACCGCCGAAGATCAGCACCCTGATGAAGGCGAATCTGCTTGTCAAGCGCTTCAAGCAGGACCCTGACTTTGCCCTGACCTTCAAGCCGATGGATTTGAAGGGAGCGGGAATCATGGTGGTAACAGATGCCAGTTTGGGGAATGTCACCAAAGCTGGCGGAGCTGAAGGAACTGTGTTGGAAAAGGTGTTTAGCCAAAGCGCCTACTACGTCCTCCTAGCCGACAAGGACCTTTTGGCTGGACGAGAAGGAAGCTTCTCAGTGTTGGACGCAAGAAGCCACAGACTTCCTAGAGTATGCCGCTCTACATACGCAGTAGAGCTGCTGGGAACGGAAGAAGCATTTGATGTTGGATGTTTCTGCCGTGGCTGGTGGGCGATGTTGCAAGGCCTTCCAATTGAATACAAACGTGCTGAAGAAGTTATGGACTGCATTCCGTTGGCAGTCGTCACCGATGCACGTGATGTCTTCGACAAAGGGTCTTCAGACACACCTTCCTACGGATCTCAAAAATCCCTGGCGTTCACAGTGGCCTGGATTCGTGGAGTCCTTAGCAAACCCAACACCATGCTCAAGTGGACATCAACGGAGAACCTCTTCGTGGATTGCGGGACGAAAGACATGAGCACTGAGCATGTGCATAAGATTCTTAGCAGCTGCCGATGGAGCGTAACCTTCAACCAAGAGTTTGTCAAGCAGAAGCAGAAGACGAAGCCGAAGAAGCTCGCTGCCGGAAGCTGTGAGAGTCTGCTGGTAGGTAGTGCTTTGGGTGAAAACTCACCTATTTACCCATACCTAGCTCAGCTTAGTGCAAGCCCTGGATGGCACCAACGTGAAGGTGTCCTAATCAATGTGGCACGCCATGCAAAGTCTTTCAGAACTCCAGGAGCCCGTGTGGATCCAAAGAAATTTCCTTTGAGAACCACGTATGCCAGAATTGACCATCCAGACGGGAAGTCAGACTGGAGAATTTTGGAAGAAGGTACAGAATATGGCATTTTGCCAAATCCCCATGCACTTTTAGGCACTTTAGCTGGCATCCTGGTGACGGTGTATCGTTCACAAGCTACCAAGAAAGAAATATCAACTGAGGAATCCAAATCATAGCTTGGAACGATTGGCATGATGCACTTGCCTGCACCTGAATCCATGTGCCGCTGCCGTTTTACATTTCATGCGAAATACCAGGCCTAAAGCCATTTATGCTGCTACGCCTGCGCCGGAAAAGCTGCTAAGCGAGCTGTTGCAGCTTGGAAACTTCAATGTGATTAAAAGCCAAAACCAACAAAAACTGGAGTTTTTGTTGTTCTTCTCACTTTTTTTGTGGAATAGCTTTGCTTGAAAAACTAAAAAAACAGTGTATTTTTGGCTGTTGGCTTTTGAAACAAAAAACACAAAACCTAGGAAAACACTGAAACAACATCTTCTGAGTCGAAACACACATGCTCCTCAAAGTTCTTTTTGGTGTCAGTTTAGGCTAGTTTGAAGCGACGGGCCCATGTCACTTCACTACGAAGCCGGAGAGGTTGGTTGTTGTGAATCACGGATGGCAGAGCGGATCTACTGATGGACCGAAAGGTGGTTAGGGTTAGTTGGAGTTGTATGTTTTGCAGTGGTTGCAGTGGTTGCAGTGGTTGCAGTGGTTGCAGTGGTCACCTCACCACAACTGCTGGATGTAGTGTGGTGTAGCGCAGTTGTAGTTGTAGATGTAGTTGTAGTTGTAGTGCAATGGAGTTGTAGTTGTGGTGTAGAACTAGTGTAGCGTAGGTGTAGTTGCAGTTGTGGTTGTGGTGTAATTCGCGTAGCCTAGTGTATTGTACTGTAGTGTTGTGTACTGTAGTGTGGTGTAGTGTAGTGTAGTCTAGTGTAGCGTAGTGTAAGGTAGTGTAGTTGTAGTTGTAGTGTAATGTAGTGTAAGTAGTGTAGTGTAGTGTAATGTAGTGGTAGTTGTAGGTGTAGTTGTAGTTGCAGTTGTGTTTGTAGTTGTTGTGTAATGTAATATAGTTAGTGTAGTGCAGTGTTGAATAATGTATTGTAGTTGTACGTAGTTGTAGTGTAATGCAATATGATTAGTGTAGTGTAGTGTTGTGTAATGTAGTGTAGGTATAGTGTACTGCAGTGTAATTAGCGTAGTGTAGTGTAATTGTAATTGTAGTTGCACTTGTAGTTGTAGCTGTGGTGGTGGTGGTGGTGGTGGTCGTAGTAGTAGTAGTAGTAGTAGTAGTAGTAGTAGTAGTAGTAGTAGTAGTAGTAGTAGTTTCCAGTGTAATTAGTGTAACAGTGCAACTAGTGTAATGAGTGTAATTAGGGTAATGAGTGTAATTAGTGTAATTAGTGTAACTAGTGCAATTCTGGCCAGATGGCTCCGCACCCGCCGCTTTAGCGACCCTACTTTTCGACCCTCCTGAGCCACAAGTTATTGGAAAAACAT